CATTAATTTTATATTTTAAAATAATACTTTACTTCTAAAAGAAAATCATCCTCACTCTTAAGAATACAGTAGGTGAAACAGATATGTGAGAAACAGGTATAATACAGATTATATTAGGCACTATAATAAAATATGTACATGAAAAGTAGAAAAATCGTTTTTCTCTGTGGCAGCTGGGATGAAGCAGGGAGTGCTTCATAAAGAGCTTACTTGAGGAGTATTAAGAGATTAAGGACCGACCAGTTTCTCCACGAGAATTTGAGGAGGAGCAGCAGCTAGCAACTAACTTCTCTAGAAACTGTTAAAGTTGTGTTTGCTACAACAGAACCCAATATTAATTCCTGGTGTGTCTGAATCATCTGAATCACAAATATTTCTACCTCAGTTTTTCCCTTTCCTTTCTTCTTCCCTTCATTTCTCTACTGTTTCCTTTCCTTCCATCTTCTTTTTTCTAACTCCCTTTCAAGGAAAGAGATTTATACTCTTATATAAACTTATAAATCAGTAGCAACTGATTCATAGAAAGTGTAGTACAAAAAGTGTTACAGGTAAGCCCAGACTCTGTATTGTTGAAAGAGATAGTTAATGCTACCTAGAATTGCTGCAAGGTCACACTTAAAATAATATACCTTCTTTCCTCTAGGTGGCAGAGTTACTGCTTCTGAATGGAGCAGATCCATTATTTCAAAGTGACCGTGGAAAGTGTGCATTGGATGAAGCCAAGGATGCATGTATGAAACGTCTCCTTGAGAGATATGTTCCTAAACATCAAAAACGTCTTTTATCAGGTAAGATTAAACTACTCTATCGTATCTGCTTATCACATTGATGGAGTTACAGAAACTCATTAAAGTTAGAAATTAAATTGATTTTTGTCATATTGAGAAAATTGATTCAATGATATCCTCAGTGTAATAGTTAGGTTTTGTGTCACCTTATTAGGCAAGGATTTCTAGAGACTTAACAGTTGAGATGTGTTTATTCCCATGGTGTTGAAACCTAGTACAGGCATTGTTAACTCTATGAGGGTTGACTTTGAGCAGCTAATCAGTACAAAAGCTGTTCCCTTGGTGGTGGGGCTTGCTCCCAATATAATGGACGCACGGAAAAGACTCTCTCTTCCACGGGGGACCTAGGACTACAATTGTAAGCCATTTCCTTGATAATAAACTTCTCTTCATATGTATACACATATATGTTTCACTAGTTTTTCTTCTTTAGAAAACCTGGCCTAAGACACTCATACCTTTCATAAAGTATGCTTCTTGTTGTTGGTAAGGGTTGTTGAGATGGTTCAACTCCGAGGAGTGGGTTGGTGAGTTTGAACCACCAGCCTTGCAGTTCATACTAACCTTGTGGTTGAGAGCTTATCCTACAGCGCCAAATGTGTTTAAATGTACATAATGAAAGGAATCTAAAGAACAGAAAGGTAATGTTAAATGTACTTTTTTCCAGGCTGTACTTTACAAATACTTATGAAACCTTTTGTAAAGATCTGAACTTTTGTCTCATAATCCTTTGACTGAATAATATGATATAAATTAAATAATATGATATAAATTAAATTTGATTATATGCTTTTCAATGAATATGGACAGGATTGCTTATTTCTATCCCCAGATAATTTTCTTACAGCAGTATCACCCATCCACATTACATTGTTAAAATGAACTACAGAAGAACTTGCTGTGCAGTGGTCACTAAAAAAAATACTATAAATATTATTTAAATACAGGGCATATTCTTCTAAGGCATCTGTTAGATTTTTGGGGGGCGGTATATAAGATCACAAGATTCCTCTGTTCAAAAGCTTTTAATGACTCTGACTCTCCTTTTTATCTGGGGGAAAAAATGACATTCTTACCAAAAAAACCCTGTTGCCATCGAGTTGATTCTGACTCATAGTGACCCGACAGAACATAGTAGAACTGTCTGCCCTGTCTTGTTTCCAGGGCTGTAAATCTTTACAGAGGGATTAGTGAGTCTGAGCTGTTGATCTTTTGTTGGCAGCCAAGTGCCTAATTACTGCACTATAGTATCCTTACAATGGCCCACAAGTCCTGATAATGCTGACCACTCTACTGGTTAACCTCTTCTACCACTCTCTGCCCCTAGGCCTCTCCTTTCTATTTCACAGATGTGCTTTCCCCACCTTCTTCAAACCTTAGTTCAAATGTGTCCTTCCAAAGGTGGCCTGCTAGCTGTTGTTAAGTGCCGTGGAGTTGGTTCCAACTCACAGCGACCCTGTATAGGGTTTCTGAGGAGTGGCTAATGAGTTTGAACCACAAACCATGCAATTCAAACTGACCTTGAGGTCTAGTGCTTATCTTAGGGCGCCACAGGGTGCTACACCAGCACTCCAAAAATGTGGCCTAGACTTCCCTGTTTACTACTGCAATTTGCTCCATTCCCACCCTCATTGTGTTGGTTATCTGATACTCCAAATTACTCAAAATCTTAGCAACTTAAAACCATATTCAGTATCTTCTACCGTTTAGCTGAGTGGTTCTGGATTAGAATCTCTCATAAGATTGCAGTAAAACTATTGGTAAGGGCTGTATTCATCTAAAGACTCAACTATTATTATGTTAGGTGCCCCTGAAGGAGCTCTGGTGCATAATGGTTATGAGTGAGGCTGCTAACCTCAAGGTCAACAGTTAGAAACTATCAGCCATTCTGCCGAAGAAAGATGAGGCTCTCTGCTCCCGTAAGGATTTACAGCCTCAGAAACTGTAGGCAGGATTGATACAAGTTGGAACCAACTCCACAGCATACCACTACCACCAGGTGCCGTTGAGTTGGTTCTGATTCATAGTAACCCGATGTACAATGGAACAAAACACTACATGGTCCTGTGCCATCACAGTTGCTGTATTTGAGCCCATTGTTACTGCTGCTATGTCAGTCCATTTAGTTGGGGTCTTCTTCTTGATGGGCCCTCCTGATAACATGTCCAAAGTATGAAAGATGACGTCTCACCAGCCTGGCTTCTAAAGAGCATTCTGGCTGCACTTCTTCCAAGACAGATTTGTTTGTTCTTCTGGCAGTCCATGGTACTTTCAATACTCTTCTCCAACACTGAAATGCATCTGTTCTTCTACAGTCTGTATTCATTATCCAACGTTCTCATGCATATGAAAATACCGTAACTTAGTCCTCAAAGTGACATCTTTGCTCTTGATCACTTTAAAGAGATGTTTTGAAAATTTGCCTAGTGCAAAATGTCATTTGATTTCTTTCTTTAAAAAAAAAAACACAAAAATTTTATTGTGAATTGTGTGAAGGTTTACAGAGATGATCATTAGTTTTGCATTCATCAAATCATATACTTTGCTACATTACTATGATTGCAATCCCCTCCATGTACCAAGTTAACAGTATTTACCTCTGTGCACTTTACTTAATGTATTCCTCCTTTTATCTCCCACTACCTTCATCTTTCCTCTGCTGACCTCCCTCTGCTTGCATATTGCTTGCCCTGCCACCTGTATTAATGTGTCTCCCCTGTAGCCCGTGAATAATTTTCCCCTCCCTCTAACTCCCATAACCATCATAGATTGGTTCTTTTTTCTAGAAAACCTTTTCTTAACTTTTTACAACGTTGGTTTCATACAATATTTGTCCTTTTGTAATTGTCTAATTTCACTCAGCATAACATCATTCATGTTGTGGGGTTTTGTAGATTTATTGTTATGTTGTTGTTTTTTTTAACATTGTGTAGTACTCCATTGTGTGTATGTACTAAAGTTTGTTTAACTATTCTTCTGTGGCACTGTAGGATAAGTATAGAACTGCAAAGTTGGTTTGAATCGTAAGGTCAGTGGTTCAAACTCACCAATCAGTTGCTCTTTGGAAACCTTACACTGGGACGCTATGACTTGGAATCACCTCGACGGTACTTAACAACAGCTTATTATTCCATTATGTGTATGTACTAAAGTTTGTTTAAACATCCTTCTGTTGATGGGCATTTAGGCTCTCTCCATCTTTTGTCTTATCCATACTGCTCTGTCTCTTGATTACATTTCATCCATTTACATTCAGTTTAATTATTGGATGTGTCTCTTATGCACAGCATATTGAAGCACCCTGTTTTCTTCTCCATTCTGCTCTCTTTGTCCTTTGACTGCTGCATTTAATCGACTTACATTCAGTGAAATTATCCATAAGTAGTAATTGCTTATTGTCACTTTGCTGTGTGTTTTTTTGTGATACTGCTGGCCTCTTTGTTCTACATAATTTTCTATGCTGAGTTCACTTT